ACTAAGCAAACTGTTGTAAGTCGAGGGCTACCTATACTCATAATATACCTCCATCTCTGACCTATTTTCAGCATCCTTCAATGATTGGGATTGCTTTCTTTCAAAAGCAATTGCTCCTTAAATATGACATTCTCAATACTATTGAGTTAAAGTTACCAGTTTCATCCTAGTGATGGATTTGATAAATCAAGGGTTGTCCCTGTATAATAAATAAATAAGTAAATAAATAAATAATGCCAAAATGTAAATGTATGTATTAATTTAGCAGTAGGCTCTTACTTTGGGTGCCAGACTGAGTCTTATTAAAGAAAATGCATGTCATGTAATTATAGTTACTGTTATCTTTTGGAAAAAATACTTTGACATCATCTGGGGGAAATGATAAATAGTTTTAAAGGCATTTTATGTATAAATGTACCTTTGATTTAATTAATTTAATGTTAATACACTGCAAGCATTTCCCATCGGGTTTTTAAAATTTTATATTCTTCATTAATAGTCCCGGCATTCTCTCTGCACTCATTAATTTTATTCTTCCAATACATGTTTTCACTTAAGCAGTGACTGTATGGCTTTGTCTCACCGCAGTGATGCTAGCATGTAATCTCTTAATAATTCTAAACTTCAATCCAGTGGATGCTGCTTTTAGATTGACTGTCATTCTGCCTCTCAGAAAATGGGGGAAAAAACAGGCACTTGATCCAAAGAGGCAATTGCTGCAATCAGAGCCTAAGCTATGCGTTCAGTTCCCTAATCAGTCATTAGCTTGAAATGCTAAAAAGAAGTATGGATAACAGAGATATAAAGGATAAAGAGCTAACAGTTCTCCAGATGCTGAACTTTTGTTCCCAGTAGCCTCAGCCAGCATGGCCAGTAGTACTGGTGGCGGGAATTATAGTTCAGAAATGCAGAGGTGGGCAGTGGCGCTCCTTCCTTGTTGTATGTCAAGCTCTTTGATTCCTCTGAAGCAATGAATAAATGGTAAATATTATACAATGAATGGTGAATATTATTATTGTCATCTAGAATTTCATCCATGTTACATTCTGGAATTAATCCATTTGGCAGCCAACCCTGGTAGTTATTTGAAATACAGTGAAAGGGAGCAAGGCGGTAATATATGAAAGTTAACCCCTCTCTCTGGTTTTAGCTCCTCTAGCTAAATCAGTGGCAGTCAAAACAAATGCAAATTACCTCCCAGCAGCCTTTTCAAAAGTGTACTCAATCTACAGTTCAGATTCTTTTAAGGCAATTTAGAAACCTCATTTTGAAACTTGTCAAAAGTTTTTTTCTTTAAATAGTTTGAGCCTGTATATTAAATTTCTTGGCTTCTTTAAATCAATAGTGATTTCATTTTGAAAAGTAATTACTTATCTGCCATAGTTTACCTTGCACAAGTCCATGTTGACACCTACTTTTTAAGCTGTTCTTTTCCAAATGTATCCTTAAGCTATATATAAATATCATCTCAAAGACTTAGTGTAGAAGTTAGACTTCAAGTGTATATAATTGTCATTATCTCTCAGAGGAGCATCTCGTGAATATTTTTCTGTTACCCAGACCTGTGCAGAGGAAAAATATATAATTATAATAGCAGTGGAATTTCTATTTGGATCTGTGAATAAGAATAATACAAGCTTTCTGTATTTTTATATTTATAACATTTTAATCATTTTGTTTATTGGTGTATATATTTATCATATTAGGAACGGTCCATCTCCCTGCCTTGTATATAATCTGTACAAGTGATTTTAAGTTTCTTCTGGCACTGATGATGTTAGCTAGTTGGGTAATGAAATGTCTGCAAGAAAACAACCAAACTCAGAAAACACAAAGGACTCCACATTTTAAAATTGTATTGCAATTTAAAACATTGTATTAGTACCATCATGGTCGAGCTAATTCTCTGCATCATAGTAGACTAGCTCTGTGCACTAAGCAATGGCTATTGAAGGTTATAAGAGGGTTCCACCACAAAACCGCAGTCGACTTAAGCGCGCTCGATGAAACCGCGTAACTGACGTCATCACAGCGCGACAACAGCGCGGTGACAGAAGGGCGCTTTAAAACAGTGCGGCGGCAGAA